AAAAAACAATAGTTTATTCAAAAAAAGTTAAAGGATGACTTTCATTTGGCGTGAATCCGCGCCCGTATTGTATAATCAACAGCAGATCGCAATCGTGCTGTTTGAGCATGGAGTTAACCTTACAAATCTTAACGAAATCGCCAAAGATACGAGTTCCATTCATCGGGAGTCTAGCACTAAATACCATTCAACCGGATCATTAAGGCCTAGAAAAGATTTAGGTAAAAGCATAATGATGGGGACACTATATCTGTTAACAACTAACTTATCACTCTCCAAACTGCCTTTGGAAGGTAATCGGCTACCACTTGAGGGTTACTAAAGATATTTTCACAGTGAGCGTATTTTCCGCAAAAAAAATACCAATGAGAGATGGTCAAGATATGAAGCTACACCATTGATGTCTGTGAAATTGGTTGCATATTTTATTAACCCTCACTACCAAATATGGAATTAACTTCTACATCGCGCTAAGCACGTGACGTTCATGACAACCCATCCTTTGAAATTCTTCTATTTTTTATGCTCCTTAGCCTTACAAGTTAGGCGCAAATTTCAAAGAGAAAATTGCTGTAACAATACAAAAGGAAACAACTAAAGCTTACTTCCTTCAGCGCTTTGTAGAGATCCACCTCTTGATTTTTACAGTCATTTTCAAGATCGACACCAGTAATATTTTTCTTCTGGAAGAAAAGAACTATATTTCTACACAAATTTGCACATAACTACTAACTTTGTTCTGGATCGTTATTGTTACAGATGCTTCACACACGTTGTCTTTCGATATAGAAGATGAAGTTGTAGCTTCAGAGTTATGAGGAGGAAGTCCGCACGCAGAAAACGCTTGCCATATTGCTTCTGTAGTTGTTTTTAAAAACTTTTCAAAAATAAACCTAAGGTGATTGACCTTTGTCCTCATCGTCCGGTTCCAAATCCGAGTCTTCGCTGCTCTCACTTAATCCTTCTACAATGGCCAATAGTCGGTCCAACCCCTCCTTTCCAGTTACCTGAAAAGAGTTTAAATTAGGAAAAAAGGATTAAGGAGGAACGCATTTTCTTAAATGGTAACCCCAAGGTTATGGAGCTTGTTCATGGAACACCGTGGTAGCTTAAACTACGTGCGAAGACGAATAGTCCATATCCTTTTTTAGCGCATCACTAGTCTTTTGCGTCCGTTTATGTTGTTAACATCCTAGTATTTTCGAAACTAGATTAAAAAACAAAACATACTCCATATTGCGGTGCAATTAACAACTTTCAGATGTGTTCTATACGCTCCATTCCTACAAATTTTCTCTGTACAAAAAACAACGGCCAATATAAGAATACTTGCTCAGTCATTTGGGGCTTACTCCTCCCTAGAGTGAGTGCATGACAAACCTTATTTTGAAAAAGCAATGCATTGCAGTGTTTTCTTTGAACTTAGTACCTTGTTTA